ATATGGAGAAATTCGAACACTTCACTTCTATGTGAAGTTTGTGCTGATGATGTCGTTCAGAAGAACGATGAAAGCTCCACGACCAAACCATCCAGCTCAGAGAACAAAACTCCACCAAAAAGTGTAATGATCTAGTTCCACTGTGAATGTTTACGTTCTTCATGATGAATCATTATTCATGTACTTGACTTCAATAAATGTTTATTAAAAGTGATCAACATTATATTGAATTACCTAAAAATAATCTTTTATTTGTTTAAGGAGAGAAAAACAAAATTGGAAATCTTCCTAAAATATCTGTTTATCTATTTATTAAAGTTTCTTTATTAAAATCGCATTAGATGGTGTGTTGATCAATTTAATGGATTATGATTTTATTTTTGTTTAAATATTTCATCTTGATGAAAGTGCGGTGAATTCCGTCTGAAATCAAGGTCATCAACGTCAAGGTCACTCTTAATAATGATGAAAACAATAATAATACTTGAGTACTTGAATTTAATATACAGTAAATAAAAGAAAAATTAGTGTGTGGATAAAATAGTACTGAAATATCAATTAAACAGTTAAAGTATCACTCAGAAATTGTTTGATCTGGTGAGGTTATATGTAGTGTCATTCGCTTCCTACATATTGATACTGATTCTGATGGATGAATTATATATAATTTTCATCTTATTCTTTGTTAATTGATTAAATCACTTCCACGAATTAACCTATATGTACATGCTTGACAACAATTTTTAGCCTGGTTCAACAAAGATGTAGGTAAGACAACAAAATGACCATAGTTGTTACTCTGATGTTATGGTTGGGTTTACCTGTCGTGATGAATCAAGCAAGCATGTGTTCCTTTAAATTTGACTATGCCATGCAGATTGATTGAAGAACAGTGAAAATAAAAGCAGCCACAAAAAGCCTGAGGGCGAAGTCTTGCCACTGATGATATGAGGCTGTGACAGCAGTGAAATAATTGTAGATCACCAAGGTAGATGATCTACGTTGAACGGTTGGAGGCTTACTACAGTTAGACGGGAATGGTGTGATGAACCAGCTAACGTCGAAGTCACGCGTCGCGTTTAGCACCTTACGTAGATTGCCCCATCGACGTGTCAAGGTACTGTAGATGCTTTGAAGACTGTACAACACAAAGGACGTTGTTACAGAAATTCGAATATACTACATATCGCTTCAAAGGCCAAGTAGTGTAATATTAACTAACTGGGTCCGAAAAGATACTAACGTACTGACTGGTTTTAAAATTATTTATATGTGATTGTTTTTTAATTCTATGAACTCAGAATGGTTGGTCTTTTTTGGTGAAGTTTCGTCATCTGAGCTGAATGGTTCACTTGGGAAGCTTACATCGTTCTTCTGGACAAATTCACTAGGACAAACTTCCGGTAGAAATTATATGTTCAAATTTCTCCACATATGACTGAAGGCTTGTCCTGCCGACCTTGATCTTCATTAGTTAGTGCTAATCTTTAACCTGTCAATGTTTACATAATTGTTTCAGACGGGGTTTTGTGGAGATTGTAGTAATTTCAACAGTTGAGATAATGATAAATAAAAATAATATATTTGTAATATCCCAATGAGTAGAAAATTGGATAATGAGTCAGTTGAAGCTAGACCACCATGGAAAACCTGGAAGCACTGAACAGCCGTTTCGTTCTATTGGATGCCGGCCCAGCGGTCCATTTAGTTAAACGCTTGGCGCGAGACCGATTGGTCCTGGGCTTGAGTCCCGCGAGGCGGAGTCGTGGATGTGCACTATTGAAGACTCCCACAATGGGATGAAATGGTCGTCCAGTGCTTCCAGGCTTTCCATGGTGGTCCCAGAAGTTACCATCCATAATTCTCATCGGGATGTAACTGTTAGTTTATCGTTTGATTTGTATAAGTTTGGTTGAAGTAATTTCGCTGGTTTATATGCTACACCTAATCTAAACGGCCTTTATAATCTTGGTGATGATATTGAGAGGGGAAATGAAAGCTTCTTGATTAAGACGTCCATCGCAGAGAAAAAAATTCGAATCAAAATCATCCAATTGAGCTACGAATCTCTACCATCTCTGCATCAGCCTCTATTAGTTGATGTGCATCGTATAAGAATAAAGGAAGTGGGTTTCTTCATATTGGAGAACCGTTAGCAGGACACAATTGTATCCTAATACCGATGGATACACTGAGCCCTTCCGTTGTCAAATGTGAGACTACTATTCACTGAGCTACTGAGATTAGACATGTCCGAACTTTCAACATGGGGACAAAACCCTATAATATACATATGTTAGGAGAGACTAATCAATTGCAGTCTTTAGCAACCACAACAACAACAGAATGATACAAAGTCTTGCAAACATTGGTTCATTCAGTCACAACAACGAACCGAAGACTCGAATATGTCACATATTTGATACATTCATTATCCTCAAGTGAGATGAACAACAATAAAATCCCTGACAACAAATATATGAAAGGACTTTTTCATTAGGGATATTGAAAATTCAAGTAAACTGAAAAGTTTATGACGCTGACCAAATATCAAGTAACAACAGCAGTAAATCAAAAGCTTCATAAAATGAGGTATGTGAAAGATGCGTTACACGTAAGCCTAAACTCATTGCACCATTCTCAATACACAAAAGGTTAAAGTAACTAATCTCATCCGTCTTGTGTAAGAATGTCTACTAGCACAAATTCATCGTAAAGTATTTAGCGAGTAAACAAACCGTCATAAAATCAACAGGTTGAAACTAGATCTTTCTTCATCATATCATCGTCACAGGCAACATAATATGCATACGTCGTAGGCGATTTGCCTATCAAAATTACGGCAGAAGTTGGCTATTCAATCGATCTATATGATACACTGAAGGCAACAGTCACACAACGCATATCAGCGTCCAACAAAATAGATTACAACAGCTACTAACAACGTGTGATCTGGAGGATAAGAAATCTTCACAACTCTCAACACATATGAAGCAATTAGCAGGTCCATATCACACCTATAACTGTTTTTTCCAAACGTCTGTCACCAGTGAAAAAAGGTATAGAGCCTTTGGTCGCGAATTACTATCGATTTATTTGACAGTAAACTATTTCACTTTCTTATTGCAGAGACGTGAATTTGCGACCATAAACCCTTGTGCAATTCGTTTAACACGTCTTACATACAGCATTCTCCACATGAAGCAAGACAACCAAATTACATCTCACAATGTACAACTGACATCCAGTTCATCAATGGACGCTCCAATGTCATATATAATAATAAAGAATAGTTTTCTACGTAGTTTAGATATGCGCTATTTCCCATTTGAAACCAAAATAAGATAATTGGGGAAATGACTGTACTAGATTTCATTATAAACATAAATGTACATTATTACCCGAACAAATATTACCACCCAGTTATGTAACCAGTAACCGTTCAATCAGTAGTTAAATTTAAATTACAACATGAGTCAGTTAAATGTGAATTATGTGGAAAGTTCACAATGTGAAAATGAATTATTTGTCTGTGTACGATTGGGTTATTAGTAGCTGATATCAAGTGTTAAATTTATTTTTATATGAAGGAAAAATGAAAGTGCCATGCCCAACCCTCCTCCTTTATCCAAGCTTGGGACCGGCATTAGAAACGAATATGAAAAGTTATAGTTTATAAATCGGTACACGGAAGTAATCGCAAATTCAGTGATAAATGTATTTATCTAACCTACACTTTGGGAAGTTTATTCACTGAAAAAAACAATCTGCGACTTGATTAATTATGCTGATAAAAGGAAGGTCAGTTTATATCTTTTCTACTACAACCCGCAAAATAAAAGTTCACTAATCATATCCAACTGTTTCCAACTCTTTGACATTGTAAACATACTGCAGTGTCTAGTCGCGTGCCAAGCCCATACGGGTTCTTCCAGATTCCAGACAGACAAATTTATTCATTCTTTTCATGTCACATTTTGAACTCGTCAATTATTCGCTTATTAACTGTGTTAAATGCTTACTCTATTCATTATATGTCACCAAATTATTTTCATGGTCAGTCCAGATGCATGTAAATTAGTTCATAGACAGCTTATGTTGGCACAAAATGGCTTAAGATTGACAGCCACCACTTAAACGGAACGGAAAGTTATCTTTATTTTCTGGGATCTAGAATCCTAGTCCATCTTAGCTAATCATACCACTTGATGAAGCAATATACTCTTCAGCTTCAAGGACTGCATTGTGATCTGCCACTCTTGGGTATCTTAGACTGCAGTAATTTAGTCCGCGTTTTTTGAAATGTTGTGTGCGATGATAATTCTCCGGAGAAAAATCACCTCGTGAGATTCGTTCAAGATCCATAAACACTTATATCACCCTAAATTTTCATCAAGTGGCTGGCCAGAACATTATTCACGCCAAAAGTGCTAGAAAATGTTAAGCGAGGGAGTTTCGAACGATCTTAGTGTTTATTGTTCTTCATTGAGATAAGTCGTGTAACCGAAAGCGAGACGTTTGAGCTTCCTTTTTAAATTTTCCAAAAGCATTCTATCGATCTAGTCCTGTAAACTGAGAGGAAGGTCAAAGCGGTCTTTAAGGATCATGACAATTACTGAATCATCACGAACCTTGACCACTTTAAGCACGTTGACTTTCGGGTCCTCATTGTTCGTAATTCATAAATAATATCTAATATAAACAAGGGTCCTACTCACTACCATCTCGTGGCATTACTGTTGCTTACGAAATTAAGAGAATGAAAAATGGTGCATGCGGGCTCCAGGATCCTTAAAAAACAAATGGCATATGAACCAACTATTGGTAACCGGCTACCAACGGACTGCATCTTCTGAAGTTGCTTCACTGCCTTGTGGATCAGATCATTAGATTGAAGGCTCCGGGTGTGTGTGCCCTCCCCCATAAGTAAACCACCTGTTTTCGGTTTGGGCACCTGGATAATATTACAGACCAAACACAAATTAAAAGACAAAAACAAGTTTAATTGTATATAGGTGTATTTATAATAGATGTAAATAAATTATTAGATACATATACAAAATACTATGTAATACTATACATTATTTATATAAAACAAACTATCAATGTAAATACTTTAAATAATGCGGTAATTTTAATCCAATACGTTTTAAATTACCTCGAAAGTGATTCGGTAATGGAGCAGTGAATTTAAAAGGATTTTTTATAAATTTATTATTAGTAATATTATTGTTACTATGTGAATTATCGAATGAACGAACAAAATCAAAAAATCCTTCATTACTGGAAGGAGATGGTGATGATGATGGTGGTACATGAAGATGTAAACTTAAAGCATGTAAATGTAAACTAATATATCGTACTTTAGATTGTCTAATATTTAATACTTCTAATAAAGATTTTGGTAAACGTTGAGGTGCTAAATATTCAGCATGAGAATATTTATGATCACCAAGTATAGGAGTTTGTAAACCAAATGCTAAATGAGCTCGAATTTGATGTTTTATACCTAGAAAACATACGAAAAGATTACGAGACAATGTGTTAAAAGCAACATTACATAGTCATATAATATACTCTTATGAGTCAGGGTAATTTTACAGTGGTTTTCTGGAGAACTGGACACTAACTAATTAACATATTCCAAAAATTTTTGATATGGATTCGTAACCGATAAATCTTAACCGGGTTTATATTGAGATGGATATAATTTTTAACAAATATTGTTCAATTAAAACCAAATAGACACTTTGACTGTTATGATAATTATTATTAGTTATATAATAAACCCCTATGGGCTAGGGTAATTTTACAGTGGTTTTCTGGAGAACTGGACACTTTCCAAACTTTCACGTGACAAGCCAAACAGTACAGCTCAATACTGTTAAACAAAAGAACCAAACACCGCCCAGGCTTAAATTTTATAAACCGAGCAGTACAGCTTAATCCTGCTTCAAAGGAAAACCAGACACCGTATAGGCTTTAGCACTACAATCTGAATAGTACAGTTCAATCCTGTGGCGCAACCACACGGGTACCAAGCACCCTGGTGGACCATTCGCACCATTCATGTACACATTCACATCACATGTATAGTTATTCCGATCAATGATCGCGTGAATCGATTATGCACAGCATGAACGGACCAACGTTGACTTATTCCGTTCACACGGCAGTCAAACTCATTAATGTTAGCAATGGCGACATGCTTTACAACGTCCCAATGATAATGACCCTTGAGAACACTGAAAATCACCCATCAGTATGAATGAAATCGGTTAACCAGCGAACCAATTTCATGCATGGACAGTCAGCAAAACGTGCCAAAGTAATTCCGAACCACCCACAATATCGAAATGGCGAATCTCCAATCTCACGAGACTTTCAGCTTTACATAGCAATGTAGCTTATAACTCATACAGCACATATGTATGGTAGTAAACGAAATAGCCCAAACTGAAGCGTAAGGGCTTGGACAACATTTAAAACCCATTGTCTGGTGTCAGAATACTATTACTAGACCACCAAGATCTTTTTTATCGCAATTACGAAGTTTTCATTTTTCCGATTTTTCAGACCCTGAGTTAGGGATAGTATCCTTGAAAGCAACATTTACATAGGAATAAAATTATAGAAATGAACTATCCTAATGTAGCAGTAAGATTTAAGATGAAGATTGTTAGGTTGATGTAACTACTTCTATTAATTCGGTATCCATCTTCTTGTGCTAATGAGTAAGGTGTGACAATTTGGACCGATGCATATATGTGTCTAGTTCTATGACGTTGTAGCTGACTGACTGTTAGATTGTTGCATGAAATTCAAAACCTAATGACTAACACCTTGAAACTTATTACTATGTAAGAAGTGAATAAAACAATACTGAAATCTAGGCGGCGTGGAGGGACGAAATCAAGTGAACCGTAAAATCAGTCAGTCAGCTACAACGTAGGACCAGGCACATATATGCATCGGTCCAGGTTGCCATACCTCGTTAGCACAGCAAGATGAACACCGGATTCATGGGAGTGGTTAGGTTAAAGGTGGTAATATATAGAAGAAAGATTGCATATAAAGATACAGTACCGGAATATAGAATTAGTTCGTAGAAAGAAAGATATGAAGCGATTTTAATCTCTTAGTTTAAGGGAAGACAGGGAGTGTATGCACCGACGCCATTGTGATCATTCTGAGCCATGTCACCAAGAGTCTCCAACCATCGGTTACGAAAGTCACGCGGACCCCAACCAAGTAGTCTGCATCTACCAACATGGCTCAGACTAGAGGTTAGTGTCTTCAAGCACTGATGCCACGTTTTGGTTTGGCCGCCCCTAATTCTCTTCCAACTATCTCTAACACCCGTTAGCATTGCACGTCGTGGTAATCGGTGTTCAGGCATACGTAACACGTGGCCCAACCATCTCAGTCGATGAAGATTCATAACCTCATCAACTGATTTACCATCCTTTCCTAATACCCTGCGTCTAACCTCACTATTACTTACCCGGTTATCCCAGCAATATTTCTAAGGCATCTGTGGTCAAATACTAGTAGCTTACGAGTGTCTTCTACTCTTAAAGGCCATGTTTCGCTGCCGTAAAGTAAGACAGAACGGACTGCCGCGAAGTATACTCGTCCTTTTATTGATAGACGGATATCTCGCCTTCGCCAAAGGTGACGTAAGTTGGCAAAAGCCAAACGAGTTTTTCGAATCCGTGCTGAGATTTCGTCCGATACCAGCCCATTAGGGCTGATCAGACTTCCAAGATAAGTGAAGTTGTCGACGCGTTCGACCACTTCACTCCCTATCCTTAGTTCAGGTATTAACGCAGACCAGTCCTGAAGCAACAACTTGCATTTAGAGGGAGAGAAGCGCATTCCAAACATCCTGGCATTGTTGCTCAGTGCTGCCAGAAGACTCTGCATTTTGTCAGCGTCTTCACCAAACAGGACTATGTCATCTGCGTATTCTAAGTCGATAAGTGGACCTCCTGGAAGGAGATCAATACCTGAGAATTCAGTCGACGAGAATGTTATTTCCATCAGTAGGTCTATGATGAAGTTAAACAGAAATGGAGAAAGTGGACAGCCTTGACGGACACCACTTGAGGTTGCAAAACTAGATGACAGTTCGCCATAAGCTCTGACTCGACTAGTAGTGTTCGAGTAAAGAGCCTTTACAAGGTTTATGTACTTCTGGGGTACGTCTTTCAATGACAGACACTGCTACAGAATCTCGCGGTCTACCGAGCCAAATGCTGCTTTTAAGTCAAGAAAGACCACCATCGTCGGACGCCGATAAGTATGCCTGTGTTCTAGAACCTGACGAATGGTGAATATGTGGTCGATGCAGCCACGACCAGGTCTGAAACCAGCTTGGTTTTCTCGTGTTTGCAGTTCACGAGTCTTAGTTAGGCGTCTGATAATTATCGAGGCTAGTATTTTAGATATTATATTAGTTAAACTAATCCCTCTGTGGTTGTCACAGGATGATTTTGACCCTTTCTTATATATTGGGACGATAAGTGATTGTGACCAGTCAGATGGAATAACGTCTAACTCCCAGATCTTAGCTAAAATATTAGTCAACCTAATCGCTAAAATTGGACCACCGTCCTTAAAGACTTCTGGAGCCAATCCATCTGGACCAGCTGCTCTTCCTCGTTTCAGATTAACTATAGCCTTTTTAACTTCTGCTAGAGTTGGGGGACCTACTTCAATGTTCCATTCACACTGTCTGGGAATGGACGGTAGTTGTAGAGTCGCTGAAGGCCAGCTGAACTGTTCCCTAAAGTGTTCCGCCCCTCGTTCTAAACGTCTGGACTGGGAGTAGATGGGAGTATCGTCCTTTTCCCAAATAATCTCACCTACACTTGACTTATTAGTTCCAGTTTCTTTTATTAGTCTGTAGAGCTGTCTTGTGTTCTCTATAGCCGCCGCCTTTTCCATCTCTTTTGCTTTCGTTGCCCTCCACTGCTCACGGTCGTTTCTTAGACTTTTTCCTAACCTGGATCTGATTTGTTGTCGCTCTTCACCATGTTCGGAACCTGATGGGACGAGTTTGCGAGAATCCATCAGTGTGATAGACTTTGAAGAAATCCACTGGTTCTTTGTAACTCTGTGGGTTAAGTCACTAACAGATTTCATTGCTGTTTCCACAGCTGTTTGTATATCTTTCCAAGCAACATCTGGGTCAGCCTCGTTTTCAGAACTACCTAAGTGTGACCTCAGTTGTTCCTGGAACTTACTTTTGGTTTTCTCGTTACTCAACTCAGTTCTAATGGGTCTTTTTAATGTGGTTTTTTGCGTCTAGTGAGGCTCAAGCAGATGCGTGCCCGTATTAGGGCATGGTCGGAGTCCAAGAAGGTACTCCAGAATGAGCGACAATCTTCTACCGACCCTCTCCAACGATGACTGATGGCAATATGGTCTATTTGAGTCCATCGTTGGTTTGGTGTAGGGGGTCGCCATGTTAGACGATGTCTCTCCTTATGCTTAAAATTTGTGTTTGCTAAAAATAAACGATTGTCTGAGCATAGTTGGAGCAGACGATCACCATTATCTGTTCGTTGTGTCGGTATACTAAAATACCCAACTAAATGCCTTTCTGTTTGGTTTAAACTACCTATCTGGGCATTAAAGTCACCTGCTAAGAGTACTATGTCTGAACGTTTAGCTTTCTGAAGAAGTTCAGATAGCTTTCTGTAAAATTCATCTTTCACATGATCTGAGCTGCAGTCGGTGGGAGCGTAAGCAGAAACGACAAAAAAGCAACGACGTGTGTCCCTATCCTTTCGAGTTCTTACGGAGCCGTTTAGCCGGACAGCACATAGACAACTGTTGACGGGGATCCACTCTAACAGTGCTTGTTCGGCCCTCATGCTTAGTGCTATGCCTACACCTGCCAGTCCACGAGAGCTGGCCGTCGGGTCACCAGATACACGGAGGGTGTATCTCGTTGGCTCTCCGTTTTGCCGAGGTGAGGTCAAGTGAATGACCACACTGGGATCCTGTATGCGTGTTTCGGAGACACAGTACACATCAATGGTACGAGATTCTAGGGTTCTAGCCAAGGAAGCCTGTTGACCGATTTGACATAAGGTGCGTACGTTGAAGGCTCCAATGTGTAGTTTGGAGCGAGGTTTCAGTAGACCTGGGACAGTGTTTTGAGCACTAGAATCGTTGGCTATGGTGATACTTGAGGAGGAAGCCGAAAGAAGAAATTTAGAGGTGAAAGTCGATGTAGGAGGAATAATAGGAATTGAAGAGGGAGGTTGATTACGAATCCAGTGGTCTTGAGTGCTGTTAGAGGTATGAGGGCGGTTATCACTTCCCGGTTGCCCACACCGTGGAAGGGTTCTTCTGGAAGTACCTGAAAAGGAAATCGGATTAGAAGTGGTCTTAGTGACCTGGGAGCGTGACCGCAGTGCCCAAGGGACAACTGCTTGAGGTCGGTCACACACGACCTTTTTATGGGCAACTTTTGTGTTAGCTCCGTACATGTTGAAACCTTACCGCCGGAGACGGATATCCGTGGGATAAGGCGAGGTGTGCATTTTTAGGGTCGACCTTTTCTAACCCCACCCCTCTTTGTGGGAAGGCAGCATCGCTGTCATGCTGGTTATCTGAAGGAAACACCTTACTGCTGTCACACCTCTGTACAGTCAGCAGTACGACTTCGCCTTCAGACCTTGGGTTTGTTGCCTTTAGTCTTACCGCTCTTCAACCGACCTTTCTGACGTGGTAGGACCTTGAGGAACAGTTGTTCCAGTCAGTATAGCTCGGTTGCTTGATCACGATAGGCAAGCCCGACCACCACGTCAAGGTAGCAACAACGATCGGGAACCGTAAAATGAGGGTATGTAAAAAGATTAAATCTTTCACGAAAACAACTGAAATCCAGAAATGGATAATATAACGAGGTAACTTAAGTGTTTGATATTCCAATTTAAATATTTGCAATTATTCATTATTATAATCACAAACAGAATGCTTCCCACATCCTGACTATAACGCTTTACCATTTACTGAAATAAATCATTCAGCATGTTGAAACTGTTTATTTATTGTGATGTTATCACTGCTTTATCAACTACATGCTGTTTTCTGACCAGTTATCAAGTCGTTCAACGTTAATGGTACAATTTGCTTATCCATTTGATAATATAACTTGGTCAATTGATATCTAAAATTCAGAGATCCAATGAGTGGAAGTTCATGATGATTGTATAGATCAATGGTTAATCCTAAATCCACTCCCAACCAAGTGATCTCACTATCACTTCAAATATATGCTTCAATACCATATCATTAATAATTAACATATAGGGACCATTTGAATAAAACAAACAGACAGAATAGTATATATTTATTCATACTTTTATAACAGGTATATGCAGGAAACTGTTGCTATAATCTATAAATACTGAACGTTAGTTGTCAAGATCAAACTTAAAGTAATCATAATGGTATCATGTCAAATGAATGAAGTTATGAAGATTAGTTCATAGACAACTGGTGAACAATTGAAAATTGAACATTATTGAACAGGTTCGTTTGACCTAGGCTAGAAATCACCAGAACACTAACATGCACTGAAAAATTCTCTTGTCTCGAAATGATAGCCATTACTTTTAATTGATCAAGTCGAAGTATAATAGTTCAACAATTTCACTATCAAGTCAATATACACAACATAATTTAACAGTTTAATTCATGAGTCAATTAAAGGTAGACTACCTATGAAAAACCTGGAAGCACTGGAAGGCTGTATGGGACTTTTCAACAGTGCGCATCCATGATCCCGCTCGCAGGATTCGAACCCACGATAAGATATTGGTCCAAACATATCATATAGATGAATCAATATCATGAAGACGAGATAAAAACATATAACACAATACGTTATAGAATTAAGCAAATCAACAACATAATAAACAACAAAAATCAAAACAAACCAGTCAATGTAGAACAAAGCATTAATGCAGCATCATTTCGTCTATCCATTAAATGATACCAAGTAGTTGGTTGATTATGATTTGTTTGCATTTTATCATATAGTACAGAGAAAGCATCTGTTACATCATATTCATTCGCTTCATTACCTATATCTAATTGTGTTTGTTTACAAGTTAATTCTTGTAGATGACGATTTAGTCGAGGAGCACACATCTAAAGAATAAAAGAGGCGACAAAAAGAAAAAAATATAACTAATATATAGATAATCATCAGATGTTGTGGAGGTTTTAGTAAATTGATAGCTGAATTTATGATTCAATTAAAGCTAGACCATCATGGAAAACATGGAAGCACTGGACGACTATTTGCCCTAGTATGGGATTCATGAATTCAACTATTAAATTACTAAAATCTCCGCAAAACCCCCCTTCTGATAATAACCATCATGTGCTCACTAGTGACTGACTTCAAGAGGTATTACTTGGAGTTCTAGTGAGAAGCCATGACCAGGACTTCAACCAGGTCTGTTGTAAGATAGTAACTCACTGATGACAATGATGGACAGTGCCGTTGGATGTCGGCCAGCTCAGTGGTCTAGAGATTACATGTTCGCGTGCGAGGCCGAAAAGTCCTGTGTTCGAATTCCACGGGCGGATGCGCACTGTTGAAGAGTCCTGTATTAGGACGAAACGGTCATCCAGTGCTTCCACGTTTCCCATGGCGGTCTGGTTTTAGTTGACTCATGAATTCAACATACATAATTAAAAATAAGAAATTCAACTGTACGCTCATATGTATGTGATAAATATTTGTAAATATTTTGAGGAGATAGACTTTCCAATGCATATTGTTACTAAAAACTGTGTAGAACTATTTTCCTTGAAAAAGCTTGGACCAGATTGACAGGCGAAACGTTGGATTTACTTAAAATTCATTCGCTCAGATTTTACAAATATATTCTTCTTTTTAATGTGTAGAACTAAGTTTAAAATTGAATGATCTTCACAAACCTCTCCACGCTAATTTTATGTTTGAGATTCTGATATATTCAAGCATGTTACAACGCTTTCACAATCAGCTACGCCCAGTAAAAATATTAAGGGTGCGCAGGAATCAAAACTAGGATCATAATGAATATAATTCATGAATAGATACAAGAAACAAGATTACTGTAGAAAGGGACATGTGAGCGGTGATTTCGAAGGCGTGAATAATTCGTTTATTCATAATAACCCATCAATGAGTGGATTTCTAACCAAAATTGTGGCCTTATGACAGTATATGATCTCTTGGAGTGACATGTGATCCATTTAGGCTTTTCCAGTGTATATATAACCCAATAAGTGACTAACTAAGAGATGAGTTCTCGAATCCCCAGAAAGAATCTATAACTAGTAGAGCTCAATCATGTCAAGATTGAGACAAATACTATCAGGGCTAATGAATGATTTTTTGGTTGTATCGTAAATTTATTGGGTTTTGATGTATAAATTATTGGATTTCAGGTAAGAAAAGGTTCACTGACAACGTGAACTGTATGAGATATGAAAAAATCCTGTGTACGATAACTGAAGGAGTTTTAAAGACTAATTACTACTCAATAATCCAATAATTGCCGGTTTTTTGACAGCCTTAAGTCTGATACGTTGGGAAAGGGAACATGTGGGGGGGGCAACCAGTTCTTTGGTCAAATGTGAAAACTATACATTCGATACGTTTGCGAACCCCCCATCGATAGTTTCAAACTTCAATGTTCCTTCATTACTGTAACAACTACTCCATTCATTTTATTTCTGATGATATATACTACTTATGTCAGCATAAGTAACAAAGGTGGATCCAAGATTATCAGGTAATTCACACAGTTAACTAATTCAGAATCAACAACTACCTACTGATAATTTTGTGCAATTTTCTAAACTAAATGTCCTGATTCCATTCATTAATAAATGTGAACTCATTAATAGACAACAGATCACAAAAACAATGAAGAAACGATCAATAATGTTATCCATTGAATTCATTTCATTTTATAACAATAATTTATTGAAATGCATCTAACGAATTGCAGTTATGGTGAAAATAAATGGAATTTATTATATAATGAACAACTTCATAACCAAATAAACATGTTAGTTGCTCCTATTGAACAATATCTGTTCGTTATCATAACAGATGATCCTCTTCTAATGTTATCTCGATAAGAATAGATGATAATCTTAACGGAAATGACATAGCTATAAGTTATATTGCTATGTAAAGCTGAAAGTCTCGTGAGATTGGAGATTCGCCATTTTGATATTGTGGGTGGTTCGGAATTACTTTGGCACGTTTTGCTGACTGTCCATGCATGAAATTGGTTCGCTGGTTAACCGATTTCATTCATACTGATGGGTGATTTTCAGTGTTCTCAAGGGTCATTATCATTGGGACATTGTAAAGCATGTCGCCATTGCTAACATTAATGAGTTTGACTGCCGTGTGAACGGAATAAGTCAACGTTGGTCCGTTCATGCTGTGCATAATCGATTCACGCGATCATTGATCGGAATAACTATACATGTGATGTGAATGTGTACATGAATGGTGCGAATGGTCCACCAGGGTGCTTGGTACCCGTGTGGTTGCGCCACAGGATTGAACTGTACTATTCAGATTGTAGTGCTAAAGCCTATACGGTGTCTGGTTTTCCTTTGAAGCAGGATTAAGCTGTACTGCTCGGTTTATAAAATTTAAGCCTGGGCGGTGTTTGGTTCTTTTGTTTAACAGTATTGAGCTGTACTGTTTGGCTTGTCACGTGAAAGTTTGGAAAGTGTCCAGTTCTCCAGAAAACCACTGTAAAATTACCCTAGCCCATAGGGGTTTATTATATAACTAATAATAATTATCATAACAGTCAAAGTGTCTATTTGGTTTTAATTGAACAATATTTGTTAAAAATTATATCCATCTCAATATAAACCCGGTTAAGATTTATCGGTTACGAATCCATATCAAAAAATTTTGGAATATGTTAATTAGTTAGTCATAATCGGTGTAGGATGTGGCATATATCAGGATCCGTTCAAGTTGTCACATCTTATCAGTTGTACAATGAGATAAAATTATCAAGACAGCTATGCTAGAGTAGTAAGAATAATAACAGTATTTAAATGTGTGCTACTGATGTCAACAGATATAAGTTGTATGTATCATCAGTTGAAAGTGAAATGTCTGGTGGGACTTAACAAGACCAAAGAAAAGAGAATGAGAACAGAGGATAATTGGTGTGGAAACGAAAGAACAATGAAGTCTTAGACAATTGATTGACATTTTGCAAAAGAATTATTTACTGTATGATTCTTAGATTGTACTAAGACGTTTTGTAATTTTGTGTTCAAATACATTCAATTGTCCCCGTGTATGTTCTCGTTCACTACAGTATTACTGATAGTATAAAACACTATATACAACATGATTAAAGGGAAAAAACAATCAATTAGCATAATAAAAGGCATAAACATTTTAAAACTCAAGATCTAAAGGAAGATAACAAGTGTATAGCATTATGATTCATTATGAGCCATATCAACTAATGTACTACAATTATCGTTAATTAAGAGAGTTTCATGTAATCCACTCAATCAAGTAGTAGTCTATATTTCCCTACACGATTCAATCCAACAATCAGCAAATTCATGAAATAATGCTAATCTTGGTCTACTCTCTGGAATGTATCTTGATGTCAGTCAATTAGATTTGAAATGAAGTGATTTTTTTAGTGTTTCACAGCTCGTTTCATGGAGATACCTTGGTACTTAGTAGAAAGATACTTTATCAATGGAATAAATTGAATAGATTATCTTTACAGGAAAGAAAACACAAAAACAAAACAACGTTAATTTACTTTACGAATTCCATTGAAATTTCGTTCAACTAATGGCAATTGTATATAACCATAATCTGATCTTGGTATACCAACAGTAATACATAAATAATCTTTTTTAATCCAACGTCTTGCAAATGCTTCTTGAAGTTTTAATGCAGAATCTTTATTTCTTATCAAGAGAAATCGATAAAACGATTACATAATATAAATGATAAATAGTTATGAATATTAATGGTGATAAATCAAAATTGGTGAAGATTAGAATGATTTCTGTTATACATAGAAGACACTTTAAAAACTGCTTCAATAGTTGAGATCAAAAGTCACTTGAAGCTAGACCACTATGAAAAACCTGGAAGCACTAGACGGCCGTTTCGTCCTAGCATAGAACTCCTCAGTGGTGCGCATCCACGACCCCGCCCTCTGCGAGATTCGAACCCAGGATCTACCGGTCTCACGCGCAAGCGCATAACCATTAGACCACTGAGCCGTCATCCAACTGAGTTAATGTCTAAATTCAACCAATCCACGAAATTGCGCCACCGTACGCCATTGTCTTCAGTGAGCTAATATCTCACAGCAGATCTGGGTGAACTCCATTGGTCATGGCTTCTCACTAGAACTCCGGGTCAGTTGTGAGATAGTAACTCACTGATGACGATGGTGGATGTGTCGCTTAATTTCGTGGATTAGTTGAAGGTATATATTAACACCGTTGGATGTCAGCCAGATCAGTGGTCTAGAGGTTACGCGTTCGCATGCGAGACCGAAAAGTTCTGGGTTTGAATTTTGCGAAGAGGCGTCATGGATGCGCACTGCTGAGGAGTTCCATGCTAGGACGAAACGGCTGTCTAGTGCTTCCAGGTTTTCCATGGTGGTCTAGCTTCAATTAACTCATGATCTCAACTATTGAAATTACTAAAGCCTCTACAAAACCCCTTCAGATATGCCTGCTTAATTGTCACTACCTTTGAAGAATCACACTTATTCCAATGGTAACACTGTATAAAAAGATGTTATATATAAGCAAAGATGGATGGTGACTGACAGCGGAATCCAATTTGACGCGCGTTTTGTCCTATTTGGAACTCGTCGGCTGGATGTACTAGCATATCAGAGTTGATTTTCACTCCGGGACTCCAACCCAGAAACGTTCGTTTTAAAACATTCTCCACTTAGTCACTGAGTCCTGATAGCTTGTGCAATTGGGTGAAGTTTTAATTCATTTGATATTGTCAGCTTGAATCTTCCCATTGATGTTTACGACTTATTTTATTTTAACACACAGATATTGGTACAAGATGGCACCAAATACACACACACAAATCTCATTCGATATGTGTGAGGGCTGTGATACTGGCCAGGTGCCCAAACCGAAGTAAGTGGTTCTCTTAGGAAGCCACACCAGGAGCCTTCGACCTCAAGGTCTGATCCACAAGGTAGTGGGGCATCGTGAGGAGATACAGTCCCATGGTAGCCGGTGACCAATGATCGGTTCATACGCCATTTGTTCCTTCAGGATACTGGAGCCCATGTGCACCATCGGTTTTGAATCCGGTTGAAGCGCCGGACATTCGCTTTTCGTCCTCTCATTTTCGTAAACAACACCGCCGCCACGAGAAGGCAGTAAGCAGGACTTCCCTGGCAGAGGCTATATACGCGTAGCCATGTGAGAGCATTTCGAGAGGGAGAGCGGACTCTTCCCACTCTCGACCGTACCAGGGCATTCGGGGGCTTTACGCTATCTATGATTGACTGAACAATAAAATAGCCGGTGACTTGAAAACTTCCGGATTAACAAAGTTCTTATACAAATATCTAAAGGAAATATAACATCAGAAGTTAGATAACACAATAGGTTATCTCATATGGTGTAGTCTACCCAGGTGCAATTCTAGTCTTGTCGCAGGTCAGGATGATACCAAAGATTGACTATTGCGTTGTTATGTGTAAAAACCACAACAGTTTTCAGTACGACCATATATAAATTACTATGTATTATTCCATTGTAAAGTAGTGTATTTGTTTCTTGCGTGAGTAGAAAAACGTCAGCATAAAATTGTGAGCATTAAATAAATGCCTCAGACGATAAGTAGTTAGTAAAAATATAATTTAACTTATTTTTCTTTCTTTCGTTAACATTCCTGTTTGTCATGTTTTTTCTGTTTCTAAGTACCACTTGAGAGAAGCTTAATTGATTTAGACTTAACCCTTCAAGAAAACTTCCCCAAGTTTGATATGACCCCTGTTTATAAGATTGATTTGGGGGCCCAATCACTGATATTCAAGAACAGTGAAACATATAGTTAGAGCACTTTGAATAACTCTTTAATAGACCAACTCCATCGAACCCACCGGATATCAAAGCGACACCTACAGACCTTCCTATAGATTTCACTTCACCAACAACCAAAGAAGTTCCCATGGCCATCAGACAAGTCAAGAGTGAAAAGCAACAGGACCCGACAACATACCAGCCGAAGTACGGAATTTTGGCAGAAGTAACTGCAAATATGCGCCACGTCCTATTCAGAAACATTTAGGAGGAAGAACAAGTGCCATCAAACTGGAAAAGAAACCTTGTCAATATATCAAAGAATGATCTCAGAAAATATGAAAACTACAGAGGCATCACACTACTATCAGTACCAGCCAAACTTCCCAAAGCTGTGTGCAGAGTGCAGACTGAAAGATTCAGTACACACCCAACTTTGAAACCGACAAATTGGCTTACGTAAATGTCGATCAGAAATCTAAAGATTGGATGATTGTTAAGCAATCGATTGAGTGAAAGTGAGGATAGGAGGACTTTATGGAATCTTCTCGGACTTTATGGTGTATCTGAAAACATCGTCAACATCATACGACGGAATACAGTGCATGGAGGACAACTCACAGATGCATTCCAAGTGAAGACCGGTGTGTGAAAAGACTGCCTAATCTTCCCCTTTCACTTTCTTCTGGTGGTCGACTAGGTTATGAAGACCCTGACATTCAACGGGAAGCGCGAAATACAGAGGAAAGCTTGGATGAAACTAGACGATTTGGACCAAAGTATTTTATCCCATACACACCAACAAATGTAGGTAAGGACAGCCAGTATAACAGCAGCCTCTGCAGCAGTAGGCCTCAACATACACAAGGAAAAAAGCAAGAACAACAACTACAACACAGAGAACACAAACACAATCAAACTTGGTGGAGAAATTCTGAAATAGGTGGAAACTTTCACGTACCTGGACAGTATTATTGATGAAGAAGGAGGATCTGATGCAAACGTAAAGAGGAGGATTTCCAAAGCAAGGACAACATTTCTACAGTTGGAAAATATATGAGACTCAAAACTGTCTATATGAAAGCCAGAATCTTTAATACGAACGTCAACATAGTTCTACTGTACGAAGATGAAACGTGGAGAATACTACAAGCATCATCAAAAACGCACAAGTATTTATAAACAATTTTCTACTCAAAATACTCAATATTTGTTGGTCGGATACCATTAGCAACAACTCACTATGGCTAAGAACAAGCCAGCTTCCATCTGAAGAGAAAATTAGGAAAAGACGTTGGAGGTGGATGGGAGACGCATTGCGGAAATCATTAAGCTGCATCACTAGGCAAGTCCTAGCTTTGAATCCTGAACTGAAAAGGAAAAAAGGAAGAGCAAGGAACATATTGTGTCGGATATCGGTAGCAGACATCAGAAGAATGAACAGCACTTGGGAACAACTGTAAAAGAAAGACCAGAACAGAGTCGGTTGGAGACACCTGACCGACAGGGCATGAACCACGAGGGGTAATGGGCATTATTAAGTAAGTAATACATAACCGCCAAGTAAATATATCTATTTCATACACAATAATATTAATCACTTATCAGAACGAAATGAAATAAAACAGAAATAATTAAATATGGCAAGTTTCAAGATGCCGAGTACAAAAGTTTACTTTTCGTCGACTTGAAAATCGTATTTTCATGTACACACTTGCTTTTTACCCCATTTCGATAACTTAATTGTTTATGAGGTTGTTTTGTTCTCTGTTGTTCAATATCTACCATTATTCATACATTTTATCTTTTCTTAAGAATAGTCTTTCTGTTGCACACAGAAATTGTGTTGTTACTACAGGCCTCGCTACTTTCTCAATTATCATGATGGGCTCGAACCAACTGTATAGTCAATGACTACTCTATAACCCAATGAGTGCAGAATTCATCATAATAACACATAAAACAAACACGCGCAAATCAGAGTGTGAAGTAACTTGTCTACCAAGTAAAGAAGTTACTTAGAGCCACATTGTATGGATGAGGAGGTAGTGATACCACTACTAGTACTATTATTTATCCAGACCGATGTGTTTTAGTGGTGGTTCAACCCCGCTAACCATATGGTTCAAAGTTGAATGAGTGAACTTGACCAATCTACCATTTGAGAATATATATATACTTTCCTTACCGAGCTATTAATATAATTCCACTGGAATCTTTGTCTAATCGATGAACAGTTGAAAGTTCACCAATGCATTTTTCTTCACCTTTTCCATGGTTGCCATGACTTCGTTTTCTTATCATTGATTCAATACGCGGTAATAAATCAACAATATTATGTTTACACTCAGCTCCAGCTAAAAAAAATATACAAATAATTAATGTTTTGAGATGGCATAATGGATATATATATATATATATATATATATATATATATATATATATATATATATATATATATATATATATATATATATATATATGCCTTTGACGCATTATTCATGTATTTTGGGACTACCAAGTAAATAATGCTGAAATCAGACGCAGAGAACTACGTAGAGATGGTTGATGAGGTTGTAAATGTTTATCCACTGAGGTAGTCAATATATATGCTAGGTATATCGAATTACCATCTACTTTGCCTTAACATGTAGTTCTCGCTTGCGAGGGAGTATGTTGAAAAAGAGTGTGTAAGCTGTGTGTAACTAGTTTTAGGTAGCTGTTTCTTGGATTTTGTAGTCAACCTTCTAGATCACCAGGGCAACTACTGCCTTAAGAAGAATAATGGTGCAGGCAATTAGGAAGTGGCAGACACTTACACACTTCTATCAATACTCAAGAGTTACTGAGTTTAACAGTGGGAAAACTCCAACACATAATGAAATATATGTAAAATATGAAACAAATAGTTAATATCATCTGAGAAAAAACACCTATGATATTTGTATGAACAGATAAATGGACTCACGTTGAGATGCTATTCCATATGGTTTATTCAAAGTGATCACATTTTCTATTTCCGATTTTATAGGAGATAAAAGAATAAAAAGTAATGTTTGAAATGGAAAATGATTATTTTAAAACTATAAAAAAATTTGCATAGACAGAAGATCAGTTCATATCCGAATAGTTCGACGGTAACATCTCAAATTGTAATGCTGAGTGACGTAGATTTCACTCCTATAGGAACATCAGTTCCCTAACGATTCTAGGTACACATTGCTAATGAGCGCTAACTGGCACATAACCTAGGTCATGTAAGGTTTCTGATAGGCAACCCCCAACTATATGACGTAGACAATTTCATATGCTGACTGAGTTTCAGTGAAACAGTTGTATTTAGTCATAGTCAATCAAGTAGGCAGTGAGATAGACAGGTTAATTAATGAAATTGGTTGAATATTATTATTAACATTACTATTATTGTTGGTACTATTATCATGACACACTGACTGACTAAGGTTTGAAAATCAGAATACACACACTGAATTATGGTAGTAATTTAAACGTTTCTGTTCTCAACGAGAGTTTAAGTACCTTAAGTTCCTACCTACTGTACTACACATTATCAGTAAGAAAAATATCTCTTTTTTAAAAAACAGAATCGGAATGTAATGGCCCACATTTAGAATTTCGCTCAATCGGTTATAAATAGACAAATTGACCATCAAGGACAAGAATTGTTTCGGATTCGACGTTATGTTCTCACTTGTATGTCATCCCACTGGGATTGAACCTTATTCCACTCGTCCCAAATCAGAAAAAAGACGGGAGGGAAACAAAAAATATCTCAAATAAGCGGGAAGGCTAAAGAAAAAAGGGCTTATATATAATTAACAGAAGTCTTTAATATATTATCGACCTAACCACTAGCGCAGATTAGCTGAAATGCACCAATCAGGATATTTCGATTTAAAGTCGCACTAAATATGCAACCAATGAAATTCTATCTTGTTAACAACCAACTTGACTGAACTTCATACCCAAATGACCTGGTACAGCTGAGGGTGGGGAAAGTCCGCTCTCCCTCTCGAAATGCTCTCACACTGCCACGCGTATACAACCACTACCAGGGAAGTCGTAATCACTTCTTACTCCCGGCATTACTGTTGTTTATGAAATTGAGAGGACGAAAAGTGAATGTCCAGCACTTTAGCCGAGTTGGTAGATATGGAGGATCCACATAGGGAAGTTGGAAAACCCTGATTACAAACCAATAGTGCACAAGGACTCTAGGATCCTGAAAGAACAAATGGCGTATGAACAAATTATTGGTCACGGGCTACCATGTGACTGCATCTACTTACGATGCTTCACTGCCTTGTTGATCAGACCTTCAGGTCGAAGGCTTCGGGGTGTGGCCCTCTAAGCAAACCAACTGCCTCGGTTCGGGCAACCGTGCAGTTTCATAGCCCACATATAAGTGACTTTTGTGACGCATTTGTATTCGGTGCTCCTTTGTACTAATATTTTTATGTTCAAATAAACAAATAACGGCTTCCTATTAGAATTTCGGTAATCCATCCTTAAAGTTGCTTAGTCAGTGATTACTCATAAGTAACTTTAGAAATAGAGAAAACAAACAGTGAAAATAGTTGTGAATCGAGGATTTTTGACAAACCTCTTATTTCTATAATTGATTTATACAATACCGTTGCAGCTTCTTCTTCAGTTAGGAAGTCAAATTTATATGGATCTTCATCCGGGACACGATATCCTTGACTATCCAATTTTTCTGGGATCGATGATGTCGATTGATTTGATGGTATATCTAAGGCTAAAAAAAGAACCGAAAATTGAGTGTATTTATCTTTAAAAGAGTATAATCATGTTTTATATATATATTTGAATTGTGATCTGAGTAGGATCTAGTACGCGTGTTCCATCCTAAATAAGACTCGTCAGATGATTATATGCACCACATCTTAGTGTTGATGTTCACACTGAGACTTGAACCCAGCACCTAACGCTCTATATACCAATACATTATGAATAAAGACTTATTAAAATTCAACCAAAGATATCGACAGCGAAATGATTCAAGTCCTCACTAAAAATGATACACGTGTCATACCTGTTGAACAAATTAGCAGTTATTTGGACATTGAGTTCCAATATGAACATCAATACTGGGGTGGAGATACATTCAGATGAAGAATCCCAAGTAGGACGAGACGTGTACCCTAGATTTTACTGCTACCAGCAACCCGTTTATCAAAATTACCTAGTACTCCTCTATTACTAGTAAATTGTAGTACTGATGAATAAGTCCTTGAATAAATCCTAACCTACATTACCACCTTGACCTCTGTTAAATTCTGATTGGGTGTTCTCGCTTTTGGTCTTAGATTTTACATCTTCAGGGTCATTGCTATTACTACATAAACAGGATTATCTTTTGGGAATATAAAGAAGTTTAAAAGAATCGAGAAAGAATGAATGCATCTGAGCACCTAGTGAAACCGATTTTGAGCTATTTAAATATAAAAGTATGCATTCATATACGAGCAAAACTGTATCAATCATTACATAACATATGACAATACACTCAATAAAAAACTTACTAGTACCAGTGTATAGATTTAACTTGGTTCTTTGTCGGATAATTCTAACTGCATCTGATCCATATTCAACATCATCATCGTGACGATTATCATTATCATCTTTGTTAGGTCTCAATGAATCATTATTATTTCGGCGTATATTATTATCACCCCGAATAGTCTTGGTCCCAGGGACCAATTTTTCCTGTTTTCTTAGATTTGCATTACTTTTCAAAGTAATATCAATAAGTGTATTCGCATTAGTAATAGTAGTAGCAGGATGAGGAATATGCTTTTTACCAATCCTAATTTTAGGCTGTGAAATTATCAATTGATTAGTAGTATTGTTAACTACTGAGCTGACATTTTCTATTGGATTTGTATTAGATCCTGTGGAGCCTATGTACATTAATAACAGTGAAGAAAAAAAGGATTTAATTAAAAGATTAGCTAAATCCCTTCCGTCCTATGGATATATATAATAGTGCAAGAACATAAATACCCTGGAACGCTTCACGCATTAAAAAAATAATGCCACATTCAAAACAAACTCTTTGATAAGCTTATCAGTCAGTCATTCAATCACAACGTAAAACCTGGTACGTATGTACATGGGCTCAAATTGCCATACCCCATTAGCACAGAAAGATGAAATTGTCAGGCTAAATCCCAGAATAATAGAGGTAGTAATAACGTCACCAGTAATGAGTTGATAAACTTATGTCATACAACGGCAAGATGTTAATGATTTGTGATGTATTAGCGCAATACATTTATGATAATCTGACGACATATTTGCTTGTAAGAACATTTATATCTGAAAAATGAAAGGTCAAACTAGACAAATTTGAGGAGCAAATAAAGATAATAAGTAGAACGTGGACATTGCTTTGGATAGTAAATCAGCTTTACCAGGGTAGGTTCCAAGTGAGAACAAACTGTTTTTGACCACCTAAGGCAAGTTTGATACTTTGTATGGTGAAGGCTTCAACACAGCTTAAAAATCGCACTTCTTAGTGGTTGAAACCGCTCTTCATAGCAAAGACAATTAATAAGCAATAAGTGTTTGGAAACAGAAACCGGGAATAACTAGCCAGTTTAGGAATGAATGCTTGTAGGAGTTCTAATCAACAGAGATAAGTTAGCATGACCCATGTTAAAGTTTTGGAGATGTTAAGAAATATTGAGATTGCAGATTCTAGATTCATGGGGCTCAAAAATACTGTTTTCTCTAAACACACGACTTTACACATACTGTTACGATGTGCACTTGTATATGCTACCAGCACCCTCATGTTCTATTTATTTATTTAAACTTTATTAAATAATTTTTCCATGTTAATTTGCTTGAGGTTTAGTTTTCATTTTATTATTTCATTCTTTTTATGTGGGCTGTGATACTGCTCGGGTGCCTAAAAGGAAGCAGCTAGTTTTTTCAGAGGGCCATACCCGAAGCCTTCGACGTAGAGGTCTAATCCACAAGACAGTGGAGCAACGTTAGAAGATGCAGTCACATGCTATCCGGTGACCAATAAAAGGTCCATATACCATTTGTTCTCTCAAAATCCTGGGGCCCATGTGCATCATTGGTTTGGAATCAGGGTTCCCCAATCCCCTAGTTGGATCCTCCGTGTCCACTATCCCGGTTAAAACGCTGGACAGTCACTTTTCATCCTCTTACTTTCGTAAACAACAGTAATACCGAGAGAAGGCAATGAATGGAACTTGTCTGACAGTGACTGCATATGTGTTGCCATATGCGAGCGTTTTCATAGGAAGATCTGACTATTCCCACCCTCGACCATATCACGGCATTTGAGAGCTCCATTAGTAGGTAACAGTCCCACACTTGACATGGTTGAGCTCTACTGGTCACTGCTTGTGACAAGAACTTGGAGAATTATTTCTTAAAATCGGTAACTACTGAGCACATAATTATTAGACAATAACTGTGTAACTAAAATCAGTCCATAAACCCCTATAGTAATAATAATATTATAAAAGCTAAACATATATCACTTTGAAAACATAATGATAATAATAATAACAAACAAGTTCATTACCAAAATATTGTGAGTCGATCTCACATAAATCATCTAAATGAGATGTCTTTGAATGAAGTACTGTTATTTCAGATGAATTCTTCTTAGATTTAACACTCTCTCCAGCACGTAACTTAACATCATCATCATCATGAACACCAAAATATTGCTCATCAATAATATCTTTAAAAAAATAATATGAAATAAGATATATGTACAAATACACATACACACACTACTTTTTAATGTTGATAATGATGCTTTACGTTTATTTTCTTCACGTTTAATCACTTCGACTTTCTGATCATATTCAATTCCGAAATAATCCTAGGAAGAATTAGAATTGTATTAGATAAATATCTACTTTAATGTATTAATAATAATGATTTATTTATTTAAACACATAAACATTGGTACAAGGAGGTACCAAACAGATATACGCTACATAAATCATTCGATGTGTGAGGGCTGGAATACTAGCCGGGTGCCCAAACTGAAACAGGTGGTTTTCTAAGAGAGCCACAGCCCAGAGCCTTCGACCTGAAGGTCTGATCAACAAGGCAGTGAAGCATCGTAAGTAGATGCAGTCACATGGTAGCCCGTGACCAATAATTTGTTCATACGCCATTTGTTCTTTCAGGATCCTAGAGTCCTTGTGCACTATTGGTTTGTAATCAGGGTTTTCCAACTTCCCTATGTGGATCCTCCATATCTACCAACTCGGCTAAAGTGCTGGACATTCACTTTTCGTCCTCTCAATTTCATAAACAACAGTAATGCCGGGAGTAAGAAGTGATTACGACTTCCCTGGTAGTGGTTGTATACGCGTGGCAGTGTGAGAGCATTTCGAGAGGGAAAGAGGACTCTTCCCACTCTCAGTTGCACTAGGGAATTCGGGGGTTATTAACAATAATATTATAATATCAATAATTACCAGTAAGAAGAAAAAGAAGCAACTAGTGAAACATTTACACATTTGAATTATTTAACACATCAGTAAATTTTCTTATAATGAATCGTTTAATGAAAATATATAAAATATACTTCAAGTTTTTATATAGATATATATTCTATAATGTCACAAAAGTAGAATTAAAGTACAATTATTCTTAAAGATCAAAACAATTTAACAAGAAGAGTAATAGAGGTGAAAGAACATTTTTGCAAAGATATTAGTTAAATATGCATTAGTACTGGATGATAGTCTGGTGCATCTGTGAATATTAATCCAACAAATACATGATTCTTCCATTTTGGATGACGTAATATTTTACAACAAACAGAATTGTCTAGATCAAATCCAAAATGTTTCATAGTTTCATCTGTTTCTGTGAACATAGCTTCACCATGTGATCCAATATACTAAAATTATTATTAAAAAGTTTATTAGAATTTATTACGAAAAACAAACCGGTTTCCCAGTGAAGGGATCAATAAAATCTGCCCAATAGCCTAATTCTTTTAAAGATGAGCATATTTCTATTGCTGAAGTAATAAACTGAATATTATTTTATGATTTTAAAATATTTTCAAACACTTACAGATCGTGCTAACTGTTCACGCTCATCAGCAGCTTCTTCACTCCATGCATCTAACGATTCATTGGTGTGATGACTAAGAATTAGTGCTGTTAAAGGTTTTGATGAAAGTTTTCTCGATGGGAACACATTAGCTAAAGCTAAAATTTATATTTAAGTATAAGAGAGTTTATAGAAAACAAAGTAAATATAACTAACCTTGCTGAACTAGCACTGGACAGGTGTGTATGGTACATTCAAGTTGATCCGATACCGGTGGAATTATTGAGGGCTGAGATTCACTGAACTAGTTGGTAAAAAAATTAGTAAATTTAGATAAGTTGACAAAAAAAGAGATGTAAGTCTGACGAACTGTAATCTACATTAAAATATGAAAGCAGCTATGCAACAAAACAACTATTTCTAAAATAATGTGGCTAAGCAGCTTTTTAGTTAAATAAAGAGGCACAAATAGAAGCATACGTGTATCGTTCTAGTTTTCTAATTTATAGAGAATATAGGGAGATATCCCAAAAGTGGAAATAACAATCATAGCGGTAACAACAGTAACAAGAATGTTTTGAAAAAGACAAGTCAAAAGTGATTAGAGTAATAAACAAAGGATAACATCGTGGCCACTACTACTACTACACAGTAGGTGTAGACTACCTGGTTGGGGACCGCGAGATGATAGCAACCGATGGTTAGAGACCCTGAATGACATGGCTCAAAATCGTTTGCAATGGCGCAGGTGCATCCACTCTCTATGTTCTCCCAAATTCTAATTATCTGAATTCTTCATGCCCCTTTTTTCCTCTTTCCAAATTTATTTCACTGGATTATACTCGTTAAATAACATCTCCAAACCCTAATCTTCCCGATTACTGCTTATACTCTTGCTACCTCTACCACTACGGGATTTGAATCGACCACTGCATCTCTGTGCTAATGTGGTATGGCAACTCGAACTGATGTACGTACGTACTAAGTTCTACGTTGTTACTGACTGATTGACAGTTAGTCAATCAATAGATAATAATAATAACTAAAGTCGACAGCAGCATATGCCATCATTCATGCTTTATGATGAGTCGTTAGAAGTTGTCGAAACTATGTACCTCAGTAGCTGTGTGTGACGGTATTGGTGTGTCCAATGAAACCAATCAACATATAATGAAACCTCAAGTTGATTTTACTAATCTTAGAAATGTTTGAAGCCATTGTGGTGTTAGTCTGGTTGTATAAGGTTGGGTCTACAACGCTTCGGTGACCAGTTCTCTTCTATGCTTGCGAAACCTGGTCTATGATTTGAGGATGTTCAGTGACCGTGCTCGATCACCGTTGTCTCCGAAGGATTGCTGGTATCTAGTGACATCTAGTTTAGGCACAGTAAAGACAACTCACTTAGTATCGTCATCTTGAAATATCGGCTTCGGAGATTTGGGAATGTACCACGAATGTCATCCCATAGACTTCCACATTTTGTATATTGATATTTAGAAACCTGATGCTTTGCAGTAAAATCTTATAAGGTAGATCTCGACATCGAACTAAATTTACTACCAAAAGAACCTGAGAAGCTTTGCTTACTCGTCGACATTAGACACACTATATCCCAAGGTTGTTAAATTTTGGTGTCCAATAATATACTCTGAAGACATTCCGAAGGTTTTATAGCATTTGGATGACAGTTTACCTTGTTGGCTACTTGATCTTTTACTGACAATGAGGTAGTTGATCATGTTATTGATATGGCACCAATCAAATTGAAAGATGTAAATAGCCGACATGAACGATTCAAAAAGAAACACTAACTGAATTTTTTTTGCCGTTGACTTAGGATAAGTTTCATAATCTGAAATTTTGCATGCAAAATATTCGCTTTTTGGTTCAGCCTACACTTATGAACAAGCGGTTTCGTGTATGAGCTCGAACCACAGACCTCATTTCAGATGCGAATCTCTAATTAGTATTACTCATCACAATAAGCAGAACGATTACTCATTGTGACTGGCACTTGCACTCATTTCATCGATAAGGTGGTGCTCCTAACATGCATCGTCGGATGATAGTTTCATTATTCAATGACGTATGTCAGTATCTTGATTAGAAATATATTGGCATTTCATGTTGTGAAACCGGATATCCAGTGGTAACTAATAACAGATGGGGTACCGTATACAACTGCTATATTCGCATCAGCCCCCCCCAGCTACTTCAAAAGGCGGATCATGTTAGGATTCGCAAGACAAGAATAAAGAAGTTTGTGTACATTCAACCTATTCCGGTTACATATCAATCATGGTTATTAATTAGTTTTATGAACCAATTAAGTCACTGAATACAAAATCAATATGAAGCAAACAATAATAGGAAACTGCATTTTTAGAATCAAATTACTAAATACATGTGACAAATGGTGAAAGTTAATGAAAAGGAACCACGAAAGTGCTATGCCTAAAGTAAAATCACTTTAAATCGATATAATGAACACATTATTTTTCTTTCTCGCATGTTCGATTTAGAGATACAGTATTTTCAAAAGTATCCAGCTTGCCCGACTTAGTGTTTTTATGCGCCCCATTAATAAGTGTTTGGGCCCCTTAAGTGCAAACCGAAATTTATCAATCTTATAAACAGGGGTCATATCAAACTTGGGGAAGTTTTCTTGAAGGGTTAAGTCTAAATCAATTAAGCTTCTCTCAAGTGGTACTTAGAAACAGAAAAAACATGACAAACAGGAATGTTAACGAAAGAAAAATAAGTTAAATTATATTTTTACTAACTACTTATCGTCTGAGGCATTTATTTAATGCTCACAATTTTATGCTGACGTTTTTCTACTCACGCAAGAAACAAATACACTACTTTACAATGGAATAATACATAGTAATTTATATATGGCCGTACTGAAAACTGTTGTGGTTTTTACACATAACAACGCAATAGTCAATCTTTGGTATCATCCTGACCTGCGACAAGACTAGAATTGCACCTGGGTAGACTACACCATATGAGATAACCTATTGTGTTATCTAACTTCTGATGTTATATTTCCTTTAGATATTTGTATAAGAACTTTGTTAATCCGGAAGTTTTCAAGTCACCGGCTATTTTATTGTTCAGTCAATCATAGATAGCGTAAAGCCCCCGAATGCCCTGGTACGGTCGAGAGTGGGAAGAGTCCGCTCTCCCTCTCGAAATGCTCTCACATGGCTACGCGTATATAGCCTCTGCCAGGGAAGTCCTGCTTACTGCCTTCTCGTGGCGGCGGTGTTGTTTACGAAAATGAGAGGACGAAAAGCGAATGTCCGGCGCTTCAACCGGATTCAAAACCGATGGTGCACATGGGCTCCAGTATCCTGAAGGAACAAATGGCGTATGAACCGATCATTGGTCACCGGCTACCATGGGACTGTATCTCCTCACGATGCCCCACTACCTTGTGGATCAGACCTTGAGGTCGAAGGCTCCTGGTGTGGCTTCCTAAGAGAACCACTTACTTCGGTTTGGGCACCTGGCCAGTATCACAGCCCTCACACATATCGAATGAGATTTGTGTGTGTGTACTTGGTGCCATCTTGTACCAATATCTATGTGTTAAAATAAATAAATATTGTTCAGTCAATCATAGATACCGTAAAGCCTAACACAAATGCGTATCGATCCAAGCTGCCACACTTTACACTAGAACTACGGCATACAAACGATCTTAAACTTTGGTGAATCGAAGTAACAGTAATACTAAAGACACCTAAAGAATTAAACAGATTCATGAGTCTGGAAAAAATGAATGAGCTGAAGAATAAAATACTTCGGATATTTGTCTTTAAGATAGGCAATAAACAAATGTTTACGATTATGTTTAATTCCAAACCACCTAGTCTCTCTACTTTAAGGTTTCCCTCACAGCCGTAAGTTTGGTATTTTGGGGGGAAAACCCCGAAATGTCATAGGATTCTATGGAAATATTGAGGAAAACCCTAAATTTCCCCGAATATTTTGGGTATTACGAGACTTTGGGGATTTTCTCCAGATGTGTGGATATTTCGGGGTTCTTTGCCATTTCCACAAAGCTCTTTATTGTGGCTTCCCAAGAATTTACCCAAAATGGACAAAATTTCCCCGAAAATAGGGAGATTATGCATATGGTGAAAACCTCAAAGAAATTAAAAATCACAACTCCCTCAGAAAATTGAGAATACATGTTTTACTACCCTCCCCCTCCCTATTCACCCGAAAATTTGAGCGACAACCAATGATATGCTCACCTCTTTTTCATTGTAAACATTCAAAAGAGCTGCAGCATAGTTCTCCTCTTTCATTGGAGGTAATGTATGCACCGCAGGTGTGTATTTCTTTTCAAAAGGTTCCTCATCCTTCGCTAACGGAATCCCTACAAATCCAGGCAACGGATATTTTGGATTGACGGCTTCTATTGGTCCAAGTTTAGTATTCGGCCATTTTTTAGTAGAATTCGAGTTGGAAACAACGACTAAAAATTGATGAACGTGAAACCTACGTACCAACGTTGACCAACTTTCCATTCTCTAAATCAGAATGCGAATTAAACGATGAGCGGAACTGCCTCAATAAACTGGCGAATCCTTTGAATTTACTACTAATCGGCCTTGACAATAGCATAGTGAGATTTCACAGTAGAGTAACAATTAACCAACCGCGTCATCAAATAGTTCAAATAGTTGTGGACAGAATAGAGTGATACTGTACTTAAATGATTCCTGATCTAAAAGTAGGGTATCACCGATGTCTTCAAGTAGAAAATATGTATTTTTACTAGTTAAAGAGAAATTATAGTGGGATAGAACGCCCAGGCGCGCAATTTGATAAAAGGAAGTAAAAATTTCTACTTGTTGAGACTGTAGCAGTAAATAAATCTCTGTAAGTTTTCGACATTGTATACATATTTTGCGGCAAATAAATTTATAGCTCTGTAATTCTTCGACATTTAATGCTGACCACATTGATTTTAATGGACTCACCTGAATGAAAGCGCTCGGTCACGCACCCATATCAGACCACGAGTGGGAACGATGTGATCAACTTCGACAACTGCTAGCCAGTTAAGAACAGTCACTTCACGACGTATTGATAACCTATCGGGTATATCTTCGAACCTCTCCGCTTCTTACTCCAGATTTCATTGGGTGAGCATGTTTCAACTGTAGGTGTTACTGTTTAAGGTGTTGTCAAACTCCAAATACATGTGGCATCTTCGTTAGTGAGCCCGGAATGATCTGGTTCATCAGATCGTAAATTGTGGGTCTATTCCATTTCGGAACTTTAACAATCATAGCTTTACCCTAATTTTTATATATTGTGATATTTTTTCGGGTTTTCGGATATTTTTCTCCCCCTTGTTCATTCCTATACTTTATATTCGTCATGACTGTACAGACTCCTAGGTTACTTAATATCAAGACTTTTACATCACCCTCATTCCAGCTAATGTCATTCTGGTTCGGCAACATCGAAGTCTGATTCTGCTACGCAGGAGCTAACTTCTACGAGCACGTCGTGAACGATTTACGTGCACGATTCCTTGCAGTCGTGAAAGCACTATCACACGATTTCAACAGGTTCGTCGGACCTAGTATGTTTACTAGTGATGTTTTGGAACCCTATGAACTTTTAAAAAAGTCTGTTTTTAACACGGAGATCTAATCGAGCGATGAAGGTTAGAACACGTCCTCAATAACATCGACCAAAAATGTCGTCGATGCGGTCAACCAATGTTTCTCTCCCCTGGCAATGATTAAGTGCAGTGTGATAGGTACAAGCGATGGTATCACAAATCATATTACTATCTATCGTCGGCCGTGTACAAACGTCGCTACAAATCTAAAATCAGAAGTGCACTGCCAGTGAGGTTTTATGAGTTCACGATGCTAACGTAATAATACTTGACGAGTGGGTAGGAGGCGGGAATCAACAAAAAGGACCTTGAATTTGGCACTCGAAGATAATTTCAAAAGGAACATTGTACCAAATGACAAACAAAACTTGTGGTTTGAAGATTTATATCCGACTAGATTGGTCACTTGAGGATGAAATCGAGGAATAAAACCTCGAAAGCAAAATGGCAAAACAAACCTAAAAAGATATAACTTTGGGGTAGCTAGGTCTTGAAAGCTTATATTTCCGAGACCTGTATGGCTAGAACAAGTGATTTTCAAAACACCTCGAATGTGTACTAATCAAACACTCACAGTCTTAGAAATAAGACGTTGGAGTTAAACTCAGTCGTCGGCGTCAAGGCGATCGTCATGATCATCCGTTACTCTGTCATCAAGCTAAAGGGACAACAAAATGATAACAACAACAGTACAATTAGTAAAAGTGATAATTCTAGTTAAAGTACTAGTAGTAACAGTAATAATTGTTGTCATAGGAATAACACTAATATTCATAAAAATAGTGACTTTGAATTGCGATATAGGTCAAATGCCCCACTATCTTTACCACCGAAGAATGGAGTAATGTTCAAACTTCGATAATCAGTGTTTTTGTAATCAGCTAGTGCAAACCATTAAATTATGATGCCATTATTTCCTAATCTTCATAAACAGTTCTGGGAATCATGACTCGGGAGAGAATTAAAACTAACAGTAAGACCAATTCCTTATTTATAGGGATAATAGGTCGGTCGGACTGTTTTTAATAAAGCTCCCATTATCCGGCAAACGTTCTCACAATTGTGATTGATACTTCTGGGGGATTTCAGAACCTCCAGACTCTTGGTGAAAAAAACGAAATCCTACTTTGAACTTTTGTGGTTGGGATTTATGAAGTTGTATGTGTCGGCTTAGAAGACTTCTGCTCCCAGTGTCTAAAATGATAAGGTACAGTAACTCCTAAATAGTCCCTCAAGAAATGGAATGCCACTATCAGGCTATTCCATATTCGATGAAAAGAAAATCTAAGAATATTTAGGCGTTTTGATCGCCCTCAGTGGGAGAGACAGAATACCACGTCACTACCTTATTGCCTAAATGTTGAATAAGTTGTTGCTATATTGGAGCTAAGGATATAATGGTTACCCAGTCACCATTCAACTGAACACGTAACCAGAACATATAAATTACCTAAACGATTCAAAGTGGGACTGGATATAATATCAGCAGTATCAGTATGAATCGATTATTTGTAGATCAACGTTGATGATTTCTATCGAGGGATTGAGGGCTTCTCGTGTTAGACGGGAACGGTGTAACCAACACCTAACGTCGAAGTAACACTTCGCAGTCAGCACCTAACATAGATTACCCTTTCGTTGTATCAAGGTGCTATGTATGTTCCGAAGACCGTACAACACAAAGGATGTTGTTAGTTAAAGTAGGTAAAAACGAAGGCGTGATCACCACCACATGGATCAGTCCATGGCATATGATTAACTGATGTGCGCTGCCCCTGACTTTGACAGGGGTCGATGATCTGTTCGTTATTGAGTGACTGAAATGCTGTACAGTTTGGTTGGGGCTTAGTGACATTTCACTGACCCTACTTAATAACGTCCGTCCTTTAGGAAAGATTTAGCTTCAAAATCAGCAAAATAACAGTGAACTCTGGCCAACTGTCCAATCAACTTAAACTTTCCTCTAACTTTCAAAACAGACAGCTGAACGTTGAGTGGTTAAGGAGAGTTGATTAATCAACACTACGACTTGTTTCATATGTCACCGGCTGTATCACATACCTTCTTTATTTCCATCTAGTTTAGACAATATTTCTAGTTATATTTTGTCTATTTGTTAAAGGTACTTAGAACCGGGCTACCCGAGCATCGAAATAGGTTAGAATGGTAGAGAAAGTTATTGAATGATATGAATTTCATATAAATATTGAGTGGTTTAGTCAAGTACACCATTCAAATTGACAAGTATAAATGAAGGCTAAATGAAGGGTGTTGATGAGTTTCATGACGTCAATTTGGATTGATATGAAAAGATGAAAAGGCAAAATCAAATTTCTTTACCCACTGTGATTTTTGTCAAACATTACTTCAGTTTTCATTCAGTGTGACGACTACTCAGAGTAGTATTTATTTTTGCTTTTCGGTGTGATATTTTATTCCGTATAGCATTAATTTATTTGTTTGATGTGTTTGTTGAAGATACGTTATACTTGTATTGAATTAACGCAAAGAATGCTCAGCATGACATTCAGCATATGATTTGTTATAACTTCAAGCACTTCCTATATGCGATTTCATCCGAATTAATAATCGAAATGAGTGCGAAATCAATATATAAGTGAGTGTATTTTCGACTATGTCTTAGTTGTCGTGTTTTGATGTCAACAAATCGTCATTTGTACAAGTTTTGATGTTCTTACTTAGCCCCATCAGAATTGCGATGGTTCATCGTTGTACAGGTATAATTACGAGGCGATTCGTATAAAACAATCAGTGACGTGTATTCAAAATACGTTCACGCAACTACCATGTGTTCACAAAAGAATGATCTGAAAATTATTCCGAAGCGTCTTACTTGTAAGTGTTTCCATTCCTTGAATTTCCCCCTGTTTGTATGTTAACGTTTACTAGGGACATGTGTAGACCTATTTTCATATTTATTATACTTCAGTAATCAGTGCTTTGGCATTTAACACTGCTTAATATTTACTGTCTCTCGTCCCCTAGACCAATCACCAGTGGAGCCATCCAGGGAAGCGTATTAGGTCCACTTTTGTTTCTTATGTATATAAACGATATGTGTAACACCATAGAATTTGGGAGACCATACCTATATGCTAATGATCTCAAAATAGTATACAGCTATAAGCCTGAGACACTAAGCGAAAGTGTATCCCAGATTCAAAAGGACCTCAATAACTTAACTATATGGAGTGAAAAGTGGCAATTACCATTTAGCCTCAACAAGTGCGGGATCATGCACTTTGGAAAGCATCCCTATACACCGCAACTTCACTTAAATGAAAGTAGAGTCCAAACACTCGAATCAGTACACGATTTAGGAATTAATTACACAGGAAGCCTGAACTTTGAAGAACATGCCTCCTCTATTATTTCTAAATCTAGACGGCTAATTGGCTTTATAATAAAAAACGTTTTCACAACAGAGGGTAAACATACTCTCTACAAAATATGTGTACGACCCTCCCTTGAATACTGCTCTTTTGACTTCGCTAATAAATTATTAAGATTTTTTGGGTGTGTGATGCAATATTTTATCGTAACATGATATCACATAAGTTATGCACAAAATTCTTGTTTTGACAAAATCGTTCAGTGAAAGGGACTTTGATAAGCTTTGTAACCCGTATAAAAAGACGCAGTGGTTCAACTCAGTCAAATAAATCTTAAGTCCTTTTTGGTTTCAAATTATTACGCTATTAGTGAACTAACTGAATGTGTGGTGAACTAAACAGATATGAACACAAAAATATAAACAAAGTTATTAAAACTCAATAGTAATATTAATATATACAATTAATTGTTACAAATACAATAAAAATTAGGGACGTTACTTAAATTGATTAAACGTCGCGTGTTCTGATTAGGTCCAGTAATGTAAATCCACAATTATAAATGCTTGATGATTCTGAGCAGGTTGGCGAACTCTCTAGTGATATAGCCCAACGTAGGATGTGATATATTCCGATTACAGTCTATAAATGTAGATAGTATTTGATTTAGACTT